GTTTTTAGCGGTTTTTATCTTGGGGGATGAATCTTCGAATTGTTTTGCATTTTACAATAACTTTATTTTTGAAGTCTGCCCACGATGTTTATGCGAGTTTTCGTACATTTCTTAAAGTAGCATGCAATTTGGATGATTTGCATTATGATGAGATTATTAACGCGTGAATTAAATTGGAAATACTTCTCAATAATTATTAATTTATTTTATGTATACTTTGCAATATATACAAATATCGTGTAAAAGGTAAAATGCAAAAATTCATTAGTACTTACTTATTTTGGAGTTCACATTTGATAAAAATTCAATTTTCAAATTAATACATTTTGTAATTTAAGTGTAGATTGATTAAATTAAACTAGATACGAACTTAAAAAAATAGCAAAAACATAATAACAAAATAATATTTTTATTTATTAATTATATACCAAGATTATGTTCCTATTTTGAAATGGGAATTAATTATGCTCTGCATAATTTAATTACATTAAAAAAACAAATTCCAAATTAATAAATTTTATAAATTTCGTATTAATTTACAATTATAGAAAATTCGTATTAAATTACACAAGATACGAAACTTAAAAAATCTTAAAAATAATTGCAAAAATATTTTTTTTTTAATTATATAAAATTATTATGTTTCCATTTGAAAATGGGAATTTAATAATCACTTTTACATTACAAAATTTTATAAGTTAAGTCATATTAAATTAAACAATATACGAAATTTAAAAAAATAGTAAAAATATTTGGAAACTTTTTTTTACATTGCGCGATAAGTTTTAATTTTATTTTTAGTTCTCTCTACATATACTTTATAAAAGAAATAATCGTAAAAAAGTGTTAATAAACCATTTAATTTATTACGACTGGTTTAATAGGTTAGGTTAAATACTATAGTTTGAGAAAACGAATGGAAAATAAATCATGTTTGCAACAATATTTTTACATTGACCCAGATTATACAGCTTGGTAAGTCAATAATCTTTGCAAATACCGACTTCAAATCATCTTGAACTAAACAGAATTCAATCACATATATGGTATTATTTGAATCTCAAGGATTTTTGATTAAAACGTGAAGTCTAAAGATAATTGTACCAAAATAGTTATTTTAGTTGTATCTGGTAATATATCAGTTATTTGTTATTTCAAATTTGCTAAATGTCCTTAACTGGACAGTTGTAAATATAGTATCGAATAAAAAAAAATGTTATTATATTTTAATATTAACGGCGAAAATCAATAAGTTTATCTATTGTTAATAATAACAGTGAAAAATTACCGACTGGTTCGAACATCAAAAACAAATAAAAATCAACATTTATTGCTTAAAATAACATTGAATCTTTTATAATCTAATTCCTATTCACACCTTGATAAACTGTGAAACAAGAAGGGTGAGCGCCCAGTCACGCGCAAATTATTTAACAAAATACCAATTTATTAATTGCTTCGTTAATGCTTCGAAAAGCTTCTCTGTAAAGTCAATAAATAAAAGTAATATGAACGGAATATAAGCTGACAATAAAAAATATCAGAAAAAATGCTCATAACTTCTCAAACTAAACGCATTGGGGTGAAAATCGCCAATGCAATAATTCAGTCCGCGAGCGAAGGGCGTTATAAACGGGGATGGCGCACTGTACGTGGTAAAAATTCTAACCGACCTCGAGCGAAATAATGGGAATCGGTCGAATGAATGAAGTTTTCAAGCGATATTGAACAGCACCTTAAAACGAGAGCTACCGTTTTCGCAAAAATAAACGGTCATTAAGAGTTGCCTGCCAGTTCATGGTGGTTTTGCTCTTTTTTTGACGTAACAATGCTCCAGAAATCATGTAACTTTTTATAAACGTGATGATTTTTTAAATGCCTTGAGTAGGTAGGTACTATAGGAAAAAATCCAATTATTACGATTTGGGTAACCGACAAATTAATTGTAATTGAAAATCATGTACAGAATTATAAATAAATACTAAATAACAGTATGTCATTTAAAATATCATATAAACATGTGTACAGCAAGGAGAATGCGATCACTATATTTTGCTCATTCGGTCAAGGAAGTAGACTAGGTAACGTTTGATGTTTTAGTGCTTCGTCTAGTCTATTTTTCAATTATTAAGAGCATGAAATTTGAGATTGTTGCACACCTTGACGCCAAACTATTTTCAAACCACAGAAATAACATAATTTATTATTATCATCTACCGCCAACTTGAGATCAATTATGCACCAAACATATGATAATAAATTTTGAGCCATTTTTATATATGACAAATAAAAAATTGTCGTTTATATATACATATACATGTATATATATATATATATATATATATATATATATGTACTCTGCCTTAAGGCAGGTCCATAAGCTGAGATACACTCCAACTCGAATTAAGAAAGAAGAATATAGGAGATTTTTGACTACGATTACACACTGCAGTGCCCGAAATGGGCTATTTTCAATTAGAAATATATTTGTGATTTATATTTTCAAGTGAAACTTGATATCCTAAATGATACCTGTTGTGCTGACATCCTAAATGATGTGACTTTATAAATGGCCACCCAAATGGTTGTGCTATTTCTATGATAAATTTGAATTATTACAATTGTGCCTTATTGTAATTGTATTTACTTAGACATATATTGCTATCTATTTTTTTCAAAAAAAAGATATTACTACTGCTTGACATCAACCGGTCCGAGACATGTATCGAACTTAGAACCTCTGATTCTAATTGCAAGTTAAGTGTGATATGATTCGTGATTTATTTAATCGGACATGTAAATGTGAAATGTTTAAATACCTATAATTAGATATGACAATAGTAATATTGAAAATGAGTGTAAGTGTTAGTTCATTCTGGATTTATAGAACGAGGGAGTTCTAAATCTAAACGCGTTTTATGTATCAAAATGTTCTTGCCAATTATACTATTCTATTATAAAGAGAACTAGCAAAACAAGTTCTAAAGCGATATTAATCAATGATGAAAGTGAACGTAACATTTCCTATGTATGTTAACTTATATATTATTACAAAACTACAAATACAAATCCATATAAGCATGTATATATATATATATATATATATATAATATATATATATATTATAATATATGTATTAAAATATTATCAGAACGTGGATTGAATAAAAAATTAAAACATAAATTGAATTCTAATAAATATTCAAATTCACTAAGCAAAACTTTGCTTGGAAACGAATTGGAGTAATCTTCAACAGAATTTCCTATGTTACACTTATATACAATATTTTATAAATTACAAGAGTTGCTATTTCCGTAAGAACTAATCGAATTAATAGTTTTTCCTTTACCCGTTGCTGCGCATAAATCATGCAAGCGTTTCCTTCTCAGGAGAAATGAAAAAGCATTATTAAAAATACTGCAAATAAACAATGCTAAAACTGTATAAAAAGTACAAAACGAAAACTTTCTTTATGAAACTTTTAGATTGAATAATATACTTGGCAAACGGGCACCGGCATACTTATACTATGATGATGTACATTATTACAAAATTCCAAGAGCAATGATAACTTTTAAAAAATTACTGAATCAAATTTTTGCACAGATAATAAAACAACAACAGAAAAACTGAAAGGAAAGTTTGATGCTAATGGTCGGCGAGTTCGTTATTGTGGTTCTGGTTTATTTTGTTTTGACTTTATTCAACTGTTTGTATGAAATATTTTAATGGTATTACAAATACAAGCTCATTCCTAAGATAAATGATATAACAAGCATATAAAATTTACTTTTTAATGACGTTCGTAATTTTCAATATTATATATAAATTATTCTGCGTTAGATGGTAAAAATACAAAAACGACCTACATTTTTTTATATAACAATCTTCAATTAAAAAAAAGCTTCACACATGATGAAAATTAACAATAAAATACTACTTTTTATTTTAATAAAAACTTAAGAGTCCTATAAGCTGTTGGACTATTTTGACTTAACACTACATTATTTTTTTTAGATGGCAATCTAATCAGTTGTCGCATCTCTATGTCATACATCTTTATTTATTTTATTACTATTTATGTAATAGGACAAATATTTTATTGATGCAGCAATGCCGGATAAAAGCTATTTTCACTTGAAAACATATTGCTATCTAAATTTCCAAGTAAAAACCGATGTCACTACTGCTTGACATCAGGTTTCTTAAAGCGCAATAAACGTCTGATGCAAGTCCAGTCCCTCTAGCCACTTACCCACGAATAATAAAATATAATTTTCCATGCATGTTTTAATTATATTTAAAATTTAATATTTATTCGTACATATTCGCGCCAATATAATTTTACCCACTCTCAAACTAATAATAAAAATGTAAAAACAAAATTAATAATTTGCAACCAAAATTATTTATAAAAAGCGCCTATAGCAGAAACAAAATAAATAAAGGACAGATACAGCTAATTGACTGTAAAAGTAGAAGATTTGTGTACAACTTTTCTGTTCAAAGAAAAAAGCATCGCAACAATATTCATTAATTATTAAAACTCGTCAATGCTTCAATTAGCCCGTAAACGCGCAGCGACTGGCAGCATTTTACTCCTCCGTTTCTAATGACATTACATGCATTCAGCTTGATGATCTGCACGGCTATTTGTCGTCATGCTATTTTTTTCATTTATACTTTGAGCATTAAAATAGTTTCTAAGGTATAATACATATAATAGATGCATATATAAAAATATTTTTTTTTATTTATATGAATCAGACACATGGACTCTAAGCAAGACCGACAAAAACTATCTGGAGAGTTTTGAAATGTTGTGCTGGAGACGAATGGAGAAGATAAAATGGACAGATATGGCGGACACGTCGGAGATCGTTGGTTCGATTCTTGGCATGTTATAAAAAAAATAATCAATTGTATTGACGAATTTGTATATGATAATACACTTGCAATTGAATACATTAGTACATGAAGTATGTAAATATGGAAGAAGTATGGACAATCCAGCATCAAGTAACGACATAATTAGAAGAAGAAGTAATGGTATTAAAAGTAAGTAGAGAGAAGAAAGAAGAAGATGAAAGAAAAAAAAATCAGAAAAGAAGAAGGGTATAAAAGTAATGATGTATGTGGCTAAATGCTTGAGGAAAGGCCAAAAAAAACAAAATAAATAATAAGAAGGTGACAGATAAGGTAACAAGTGAAAAAGAAGAATAGTGGGCAAAGAAAGAACTCTACTGAGCATCCTGGAATGGAAAGGGAACTATATTGGACCCATTCTGCTAAAAAGTGACATGACATGACATTGCCCAAGGTAACTTAGAAGGATTAAAAGGAATGGGAAGAAGAAGAGTGCAAATGATTGATAACTTGCGCAAAAAGAAAAGATACAGGGAAGTGAAAACCGAAGCACAGGACCAGGAAGCACGGAAGCAGAAGTATGGTAAACAAATTGTATAAAAGTGTAATGGTAATGGGAATAATAAACAAGGGAGGGAAATATTAAAAAATATGAAGTAACTATGAACATCCTCTTATTGGATAAAAACTTTAAATTTACTCGAATAGCATTTTTTTTTAAATATTTTCATAACTAACGAAACAGTCTCTGGGTAATTGCTTTGTGAATCTAAATCTTTCTCGAATGAACTTGATCTCACACAATAAATTCAAAAAAAAAAAATACTCGAAGCATTAAAAAAAAAGTTCAATGATTAACGCACGGATACTAAATATACCCTTTATATACCTATATATATTTCGTATCTGTGTATAAAATTATGTTCGAGATCTTTACAAGTGTATTATATGCTATATAACGTGTTTACGGGATTTCCTAGTGACAAGCTTCTTTTTAAATGGCAATATATTCTCCCCTTCAGCGAGGCATTTTTTTTATTCCGTAATAATGAAAGCAACCCTTTTCGTTTCGATCTAAATGTTCGTTTATGTTAAATGTAAAACATCGTCTCACTTAAACATTAAAACGCGATGTGATCTGATATTTGTTGTACACATGTAAATAAACATTTTAATTCATAATATTTATAGTTGACATTAATAACAGTGATATCAAACTGCAAACATATAAATCATCGGTGTATAGCTGAATATTATTTGTTCGTTTCGAATTTTCTGTTAGACTTTTAACAAAATTACTTTAGAAATATTTGAAATCGTAAGTTGCTATTGAAACGTCATAATCTAAATTAAATGTCAAGTCATCGCGTGGTCGGCTCTTTTAAACATCCCTCTAGTTTTTTCAGAAAGCGGATAATGTTGATTGCCTTAGTGCTTGTATGCAATGAATAAAATGAGGAACAACCACCCTCTCTTTGTACGTTCTACATGTAAATTTCTGTACAGCAAAACATATAATCATTTATGGTTAGCCCGTCTTATTCTCGGATATCGATCCTATTCGAACTTTATTATAAAAAGAAAACATCCGCTAAGAAAAGTATGTACGAGCAAAAGCATTGGAAATTCCAACGGCCCCAAATAAGTGACTCGAAATTGCGTTGCCCTATACCAAAGTAGAAAAAGAGGGTGGGGGTGACAATATTAAATATTCCGTATAACATAACGATTGAAATGCCTTATGTGTATATACATTGTTTATTAAATAAGTACATTTTTATTACACTAAAACATCCCAGAACGCTTTCAAGAAAATGATACCTCCCTCGCCAAAATAACGGTATAATAACTAGTTGCAAGTAGAATTTTGCCTTAAGGCAAGTTGCATTAACTTCCCGATATGTATACATAATCAACTTAATCAATGAGAATCGAGATTCAGCTATTTAGATAAAATTAGATTAAATTCAACTGTTTATCAAAAATAGAATTTTTGCTTTCACTAAAGAATATCAATACGATGGGCAATTAATGTATTTTAAACATACTTATTATATATGTAATTGTTCTTAAAACCGCAATCAGTAGCTGCCAACAAAGCACTAAAAAACGTACATATACTTCGGCACAGATTCTGATTAGAATTGCTCAAGTTCTTGGCAAAATGGTAAATTTAGATGTTTTTTTATAAATCAACCGCTTATCGTAGGCCTATAATATTTTAGT